CTTGCAAACAGGTCGACGGGGCCTCTTTTTGTATTTCCGTGAATTAATGTGCATTGTTCGTAATCAGGGAGGCCCGTCCTTCTTAGGACCTTCGTCAATTATTTGGATCGACTTTTGGAATTTTATTTTTTGCAATTAGGGAAATACATGGGAATTACTCGCACCTTAGCGAGCGCACTAGGAATTTGGGTCGACGGTTAGGAATTCCGGAATGAGCGGAACCTGACGTGTCCTTTCTTGTGCATGAATGTTCTCGACTTCGTCTTGGAAAACTCTGGGAATTTTCGTAGGAATTTGAATAGGTATAGGACTTCTTCTCACACCCGCTCTACGCCCGAATATGGTACTTTTCAATTTTGAATTAGTTGTAACTGTTTCGGTGCCCTTTTTGCCTCCGCGCCGGCGCCATGCATGTGAATCTCCCCTCCCCGCTTCCCTCGCTACCTTCGACACTCTCTTCTTCGCGCTCACGCTCCTTCTCTCTCTGTAACCGTTTTTCCATCTCTCCCTCGTCCGCGCGCACCTTTTCTCTTTCTTGATCGTCTGATCTTGGTTCCGTTTCGCACTATTCTTCGCACTCTTCTTCTTCCCGCTCTAAACCTTGCGCCGGAATACCCTGGCGATTCCCTCCTCTTCCCCTTTAGACAAGGAGACGCGCCGTGTAAGAAGGATATTTCTGTTACACGACGATTTGTATTGGCTACGACTGGCCTCTGAAGGATCGACATGGCTTTCGACCGGCGATTATCCCCGAACTTCTCCCTACCCCTCCCTACCTCAGTCCTAACCCTTCCTAGCGCCTATCTCCTTTTCCGCAGCTATAAATTTCGCAAACGCTCCCGAAAATCTCTCTCTCGACTCAACTGCCAACTTTTGGGAAGTAGTGGCTAGATGGTATGTGGGAAGGTGCGAGTCGAAAAGTCCCGACGAGCAAACTGTAGTCCATGGTGGCGTCGCGCTGGATCGTCCGACGAACTGTGGGATCCAGGCCAGACAGTGTCGAGACTAAGTTAGCTGGGTGACGATCGCTATGGTGGATTAGCACGTGACGCCCGAGATCGTCAGTGCTTGTGAAAAGTTCGAATCGGAAGTTGAGCGAGTACATGGCCTGGGGCCATGGTGGAATGTTATGACGGAAGCGCCTCTCTTTGCCCCAAAATCTGTATCTTCGAGTGTGCGTTCTGATCACTCGGCTTTTAAGCCGGAATTTCCCTTGACGAGATCGTCGGACATTTTGCGATTGCTTTCTACTCGTTCCTCCCCTCTTATCTGCGTCTATTCTCCCTCACTCTCTCTTTTTGTCATGTTTTGTTATAATGAATGGATTATGGTAACTTCGCTTCTCTCACTTTGATATGTGCATGCAGTGGGTTTGTTGTAGCATGACAGGGAGGATTGGCTGATCGACTGGATGATCTGGCTGCTTAGAGTGTCGCACGAATGATGTGTGATTAGGAATAATTTTTGTGCTTGCCCTTGTTGCCATGTGGACTGACGGCCCCAACCTGACTGGGCGCCGACCTCCTGCCCCCGCTAAGCCCCTTCCCGTACAACGAGGAAAGGACACGTGTATGCGAGTGGGACCTACGAGAAGCCGTCGCCAAGATCGGTGGGCGCTACTACTTTCCTCCCGAAACTCGGCGTTCTGGGTTCGTCGGTGCGGGTTTTGTTATTGTTGATACGCACTTTCCGCCCTATTCGTTGTTGTTGCCATTTAACGAGTTGATCGTCATCCCGTGGACGACAGTAGAGCCTCATTGGCGTAACACTCTGTGCAGTGATTGTCGCCGCCTCGAGCGTTACCGAGACAAGGGTTTCCACTACCGCACACGTGGCGAGGACGAGCATAAGGAGAGGGTTACTCGATTGAAGCCCTCCTCGTCGGATTCGGAGTTGTGTAATGAGCGCTGACGAGACCTCATCCATAAACGGGATACCACGTGTGTACCCGCCCCCTTCCACACGAAGCGAAGAGCGACGGCTCGTCGGGAAGTTCAGCGGTACTTTTTGGATTGAATTTCCCATAGCCGCGAACCCCGCGCGCGCCTTTCTCTCCCTTAAATCTGCGCGGCAACAGACCTCCTTCTTACTAGAGCCGGACCAACACGGGGAATTTCAGTTCTGCCTGCGTCCCCACACTTTCCAAAAATCCTTGGCACACACCATCTTTGCTGTCCTCTCGGGGCCGTTTCGCGAACCAAAACACTCCGACCGGGAAGCAGCGCAGGGCGTGAGGTTGAGCGTCACATATCCACTCGAAAATTTTCTATCATCATTCCGCAAAATCAAAATGGGTGAGACGGATTACGTAACCAATCCATGCCACAGGACCTTAATCAGTGGGGAAGGAGAGAGAAGGAGAGAGAAGAGGCGATGGTCAGATTTGACAGACGGGGAGAGGGTTCATTCCACTCGAAACCAATAACACAATTTCAATAATACAACTCAAGGTCTTTCTCTTCCTCTCTTAGAATTTTTCCCACATTGACAAACAACAACAATTCGAACCAGATCTCAAATTCGGCTTGAACAGTCCGTCCTCCTACGCCCACCACTTCCCGGAGTCGTCACGCCGCTTAGCCTGATTATGCAAGCCAGGTTAGCCCGTGCCCCACAGTTCGTCGCAACGACACGTCAACCCTGCTCAATCACTACCAGCTCGTCAGGGCTTTTCAACCCCGCTCGTTCACCTCAACTGCACTTCACTGCTCAACCAGCAGACCCTCTCGACCGCGCTAACTCCAAAGTATAGAGAGAGATACAGTTGCACGTCCTAAATTTATTGCAGAAGCATGCGCTAGGGGACTCCACCAGCAAGAAAGCACCGACCCCATCCACCATAGGTTCGAAAAAACTTGGAGAGCCCTCCACATCGGCCCACAAAACCACAAAACAGCATAACACAATAGGCTCCACTAACAAAAAAGCACGGACCACAAATGCCAAT